CAATGGGCTGTTGTGTTGTCTGAACTGGTCCACTATAGCAACAGGATAATAATGGGCATCTAAACATCCAAGTGAGCCGCACAGTTTGTTTGTTGAATGAAAAAGGCTTTGAGTATATACACACTACATTCCACAAACAGGGAGGTACAGAATTTGTTTGGTCTGCTCTATCTGTAACCTGTCAGGAACCTTTTGTTCTGTTTTCTGTCCACTCACAGACAAAATCGTTTTGTTTGGGGTTTTTTCAGTTTCCAAAATGTGTGTTCCTGTGCACTTCTGCAAATATGCAGAAGCATTTTTAACACATTAGGGAAATATGTTTCTTAAGATATTTTGTATTTTTCCCCTGCAGCTACATTTGTGTAAAACTCCAGAAAGTAAAAAATGGGTGCCCATTTACACATGGAATCTGTGTAACTCAGGAAGAGTCAGAGTACTATAGACTTTGTGTAAAAATCTGAGCTTACCTGAAAGTATTGCAGCATTCTCTGATATCCCTAGCTACAACATATCTGTTAGCCAGCTTTCTTGCTTAATCCATATAAAAATAACTTGATTAACTGCCCATATCTGCAAAATATATCTTTCTACTCATTACATGCGAATGATACTGGCAGATTAGCATTACATCTGTTAAGAAGTGGGTGTATTTAGCATACATCAAATGCCTCACAGGTAGACTTCTTACCTGAGCTGGCTTCTTCTGGACCACCTGTTGTGGCTGCCAAGAAAGAAAAAAGAAAAGCAGTAAGATGCAGGTAAACAATTGAACAAAATTGTTACATGAACAAAAATTGTTCCAAACCTTTTGTCAAGTAACTAGTAAGGGAAAAGCCCCAATTTCAGCATGATGTGTAAGCTTCAAAACCTTTGGTGTATGAAACAAAAGAGATGGATCATGTGAGGGTAATTTTTACAATAGTGGTACACATCTGTAAGTTAGCTGGAAAATCTGTGATGCTTCTCACTTTCTCTACATTTACTCTACAGTGAAATCTTACGTGTGTCAGGGTTAAGTCCCACTGAGCTTACTCCCAGGTGAGGAAAGTACTGCAACATTAAGTGCACATAATTTACCTATCTTATATTTGTACTCAACAATGTTATCACTAGGATGCATTTGCACAGCAAATTCTTAGAGATTCTATTGCTCTTATGCTATCAGTCAAGAGATATAGTACAGCAATACTGTATAGAGTCCTGAAGCAACATACTACATGGATAATAGCTGTTGCTGAGGTTGTCCAGATTTGTCTACATCATTTTCTTCTTTTAAAAAAAGTTCTAGATACATTTCGAACTCATCTGGAAGTAAGTTTGTTATTTTAAATATGTATTCATAGCAGAACACAATGGGTTTTTGAATAAATGTCTGTTTCCAATCCCTTTGGAGTGTGCAAAGATTGACTAACACCACAAGCTTGCAGCTTATTGAACTGAACTGAGAAGGATTCAGCCTATGCAAAGTGCTTTACAAAGGAGGCAAACTATACATCCCTACCACGGACAAAGGAGATTTCAACTCGGGGGCATTTTCAGAAGCTCCCAGGACTCAAGTTCCTAGACATGTTACCAAAACACTTCAGCTCCCATTACATTACACTTTGAGTTCAACTAAAAATGTGTCTGGCTTGGGACTTTTAATGTTCTCACTGCTGTTAAAAATGCAGCTTGCTTCTTAAAGCATGAAGCACAACTTGGAGCTTACCATGCCAAATGCACCCCACCCCACCAGGGCTCAGCAAGGACAGAATTGCACAGCTAATCACACACTGTGTAACTAGGTGTGCTACTTTTGCTTAATGATGTGTAAGTGTGTGGTCCCAATTCAGATCAGGCTCAAGAGCTTGCCCTGGAGAGTTTTAAAAATCTTCCTCCAGTTTTTCTGTTTCTGAAATCACACTTGCCATGGGAGGCTTAACAAAATAAATAGATAAAAGGACTCCAGTGACTCCAATGGGTAATTTTACAACTTGCCAGTGGGATGGGGATTCATGGGAAGATGGGGGGCGGGGAAAGGGTTAACTCCTCCTCCAGTCCTGATCTGAATCAGGGTTGAGTGTGCTTACATAATAGAAAAGACTAATACATGGTGCATGTCAGCAGACTGTTAAGTTTGGTTCTCAGTCTTCTGTTCAGCTGTTCATGACTGCTAGAACAGGGTATTGTAGCATGGCTGACATGTTGGTGAGTTGTGTTTTGTGGGCTGCATTTAGCTTTGTAGCTCACAGATTGTGCACTCCAGCTTAAAGGCTAGTCTTCCTGCAGCCCAGTCTGACCTTAAACCTAAATCACATCTCCTCTCATCTGCAATGCTATTTTTCTTTTTAGTTACTATCCAAGCTGTGAATCATGCCCTTTTTTGTTTACATAATTCTGGAATCTGGATTCACCTGCTCAGCTGGGAAGAAAACAAGTGCAGAAAGCCGTTTCCTAAAAATTATTTGACAAGCTCACAAAATAATGTCTCCAACTCCTTCTCATCTCTGAAATCTCTTTTCAAAATTCATTTTTCCAGTGAATTATTTTCTATAGTATCTCACTGTTCCACACTCCCTAAGCTGTTCTTGCACAACCATCAGCATTACCTGCTGCACAGAATAACTCAGAACTTTAGGGAAAGAACTTTCATTCATACGGTCACTACAAGGCAGAGATGACTTGACAGCACCTAACAACAACAATGAATACCAAACAAGCCTAACTTTAAACCCATGCCTAGCAGCTAGACTTTTTATGTTTCCCCAAGAGTAGGTGCAGAGCCCCCTTCCGCTGCTACATTAGGTTTTGATTCCGATTCAAATTGGAGCAACTCCATCTGAGGTGGATTAAAATGGGGTGAAGAAAGCTAATGCAGCTAGGCACCAGTTTAAAGTAATGTCTGTTTTGGTCCCAACGAGTGAAGCATTTTCAGGTTCCGGACTAGCTCCACCCAGCCACACAGGATACTGGGTCATACTACAGAAGAAAGCTACAAAGCACTTCCTATTAGGACTGGCGCTCAAGTTGAGAAATATTGGTCTTATTGACTCTAGTTTATTTTGTTGCATTCTTTAGCTTTGACCTCCTGGCTGCGGCAGGCCCAGCCCAGTCCATGTAAGCTAAGGCTCAGAATGTCTGAAAACAGCCAACCATGTATCTGTTAACTGGTTAACAGCCATTCTAAACCACTTGTGGGGTCTGGTGTGGTAGGATTTCCCCGATGTTATGTGAAGGCACCAGTTTCAGGGTCAGCCATTTTACAATGTAACAGTCCCCGTGTATCATGCCAGCCTGCAGGTATGTGTGTGTGGGGTCTGTACTATTTGAATAGACTGTTAGTAAAACGGTTGGGAAACAGTGAATTAGGATGTGGCAATAAACACACGGAACATGCATCATGGAAGGAGGCACTTCAGAACGCAGAATAAACGCCAACCCTGCCAAAAGAGAGTTTCTATTTGAACAGAGCACCCATTCATTGGCAGCCTTTCTCTAATTTGCCTTAATAATTACTGAAGCATCAAAGCCCATACATCTCAACCCTAAACTGTACAATTTTATATCTACAGGGCCACTGCATTTGCCACTTTTGTGTATTAACAGCTGCATATGTAAGATCTCTTCTGCCTTTTAAACCTTAAGTTACTTCAACTGAGCTATATAGTTTTCCCTTGTAAAACTGAAAAGTAATCTAGTGGCAGCATTTTTCTTTCTTTCTTTCCAGACCAATTTGTTGACTGAAATATGAAAACAAGTGAGATTTTGAACAGTATGGCTCATTTTCAGGCTGAAATGAAATAATCATGGAAAGAATTAAAAATTCCAAAACAGCAATAGAACTAATTTGTAGATGTACAACCCATCTATCTACCAAAGATCACAGAGCAATACTTTCTAAAATCACAAGCAGTAATTTAGCTGGCAAAGCTGTTATCAGCATTTCAGACAGCACAAGTCCTGAATGAGTAAGATTCCTAAACCTTGGTCTGCATCCAATCAGCCAAAGTACAATATTTTCCTTTGGCTTTTTTCATGAATGGCCACAGTATTGTGCCTCAGTTCAGTCAAACTCCTCTTCTATAGCCATTCATAAAAATAAAAACAAACCAAAACAAACAGGCACAAAAACTTTCTGGGTCCAGTCTGGAGCCACTGGGTGCCAGAGGCTGAGAAAGCGCACTGGCAGCTCCAACCCCAAACAGCATTGAAGTATTCCGGGATCTGCGTGGTGGTCTGTAAAGTATGAAGTGCTATGTGGAAGGGCAGCTGGTAGAATTACTGTGACACATACTAGGCAGTCAGCCAGAGTTGGCCTTGTTTCAGACATTGTCTTTCCTCTCATTGAAGCGTCAGGACCTAATTCATGGAAAATTTGGTGAGTTGGCAGCTGTTTCAGAGGATTTCATTGAGTTGCAGTGTGCAGGAGTCACATGAATGCAGGGTACTCAGCCAAGAAATAGGGGGATTTCTGAGCAGTAAAAACCAGTCAGCCTACAAGAATGTCTGTGGATTTGATGTGGTTTCGGAGTAAACATGTGTACAGGTGTAATCAGCAGGGGAGGGAAAAGAAGTAGAAGGAGTGCTAATGATCAAGATTATTAAAAAGCTGTTTGAAATACAGAGACTTGTGGCAGTGGCACTCGAGGTCTGAAGGCAAGTGAAGTTTGATCAACTCAAGATCTGCAGGAGGAATTACTAAGGCTAGTCTGCTAGTGTGAGGCACAGACGGGTGAACATAACACAATCCTGAAGAAAGGATGCTTGTTCACATTTTTTAAAGCCAACAAAACTAAGCAAGCAAGCAAGCAAGCAAGCAAGCAAAATGGTTATCCAAAACAAACATATCTTTCTTTCTTTTTAATTTACAAGGTTGTAATAAATAGACAGAGGCACTTTGGGTTAACAAGCATTGTGGGTTTGTGATAAACAGTCCAAAGTATACCATCCCAACCAGCTTCCATTTTTGCATATGAACTCTACTGAGATATAATATTAATATCTTTACCTTTTTATTTCAGGGGGAAGGCTACATTGCTGCCTTGCATAGTGACCAGTTGCAGAACATTGCAAAGCCTATTGGATGAAGGGTCCAGATAAGCAAATGGAAGCAGAAGAAATGGAAGGCTCTAATTGCTGGGAGACAGATCACACTTTTTCAGAGAAAGGGAAAAACTGAACATGGGAATGGGCCTGCTGAACTTCCTACTTTGCACTCTGTGCTCAAAGGTCTTTCCAGTCTGACTGGGGAGTCATAGATGCTAGAGCAGGTACACACTTTTTCAGATGTTGGGGCTAAGTGTTCAAAGCATTTCACATCTAGTAGTCCTTATGACTAACTTGTAAAGTAAGCCCTATATAAGGAATAAGAAACTAGGTTTGCTGGGTTTCCAGCATTCCAAAATTGGTGACTCATAATAATGTCATTGGGTGGGACCTTCTCGTATCACAGGGCAGGAACTCATGATGCTATGGGGCTTCAAGCTCTTCAATTATAATGTTTGCTGAGCTGAGGATGTGGCCCACTGGTAAATGGGTGAGCTGACCTAGAAAAAGGGAGAAATCCAATGTCCCAGTGCTTGAAGGAAGGCCTCACCCATCCAATTTCCTACTGAAACAACATGGAAGTTTAGGAAAACATTTGAAAAAATGTATGAAATATTTTCTTAATGAGAATGAGTGAACTTTCAAGTTTTGTACTTTCTTGTACAATATTATACAATATTGTACTTTAAAATGATATTTGTACAGCCAGTTTTACTGCTGCAAAATTCAGAGATATAAGATTCAAAGGTGGTCGCTGGGATTTAAACTTGCACTCTGGTGCTCCAGATGGACTCCAAACCTGTGTCTGAGGGCCAAAGGCTGAGAAATGGCAACCATATAAGAAACTGAAAGACAGTGGCTTTCCCAACTCTATTGTGAGTGATGGAATTCCCAGTTCCTCTTAAAACAATTCTATTGGATTAGCACATTGGATCCTTTTGCTAAAAAAAACACCTAACAGAAACAGATGCTGGTGATAAGCAGACAAAGTGCAGGCATGCTATTAAAAGTAGGGATGATTTTGGAATCTACAATCTTGGGTTGTTCACATTTTATTTATCTCTAAGTTATTTCTTGCATGGTTTCCAAACTGGAATCTGGTGTGAGAGAATCTATTTGGAGGCTGGATTCTGGATGACTATATCTTTTTCCTAGACAAAAATCAAGCTGCCAACATTTTTTTGAACAGCAGTTTTTAAAATTTCCCTCACTTTTAAAATGTGTGAAATGGTGCACTAATATAAATAAAAAGGAATTTAAAGAGAGTGAGTGGTGGTGTTAATAAACTGCTGGCAATTTGATGGCCCAGCAGTTCTTGAGCAGTGATTTATTTTTATGGTCCACCACACATTTTTGGTTGCAGCCTCTTTTGGGCTTCCTACGTATTTATTCCAATGGACATTTCATAACTGTACAATTATGGGAAATATTTTGTTAACCTTTGGGGGTTTTTTAAACTCTGCTTTTATGCAAATGGCAGGTACACAGAATTCTGACACTTATGGACTAAGTTCCAAATTTCCAACAAAAATTGCCCTTGACAGGAAATAACTGGATACAGAGTCTTCAAACTGTTTAAGAATGGAAATATTTGTTTCATCTGAACTGGTGTTCATCAAGGTTCTCATTATGGGTTTAGGAATGTATGCAAACTCATTGACAATGGGGGCATATAACTACACATAAGCAGAAGATGATGCAGGTATTCATAACAGAAAGGGGAAGAGGGGAAGGAATGTATGATCTCCCAGCCCTTTGCCAATGCTAATCTCCAATGAATTTCATTTCTGCCGCCTGACCCAGGGTCATTTTATAGGCCCACGTTATGAGTGAAATTACCATCTTTGCTGAAGTATATGCACTGGTCTCTAGAACAAAAGGCCATTTCTGTCTTCTGAGCAACATGTTTAAAATTAACTAGCCACCCTGGAGTGTCTGTGAACACACAAAGTCATGAATGACTGCAATTCATCTTCTCCCTTATCTTGTCAAGGAGATTTCATAGTACTCTGTAAAGACTCATAAAGCAGGGTAATAGTAACCTGTGGAGAATTCTGGCAAAATCTGTGTAAGTTCAATCCTTTCATTTTATTCCATTTTGTTCTACTTGGCTCCATTTGTAGATTTTAATACTAACAATACAAGAAGGATCGTTCAAATGATATTTATGTATTCATTAAACTGCTTCCCTTAGCTTCTTCCGAGCCTAGTTTTATACAAAAGCCCATACAATCTCATGAGGTTGCATTACAGAAGTGCAACATTGTCTAGCTAACTGCAATATAAACATTACTTCTACTTAGAAGGTTATGGAGAATAGCAGGCCTTCCCAAAAGTCATTTGAAGAATTATTCTTTTCCAGTTCCACAAAAAGTTTGGTCATTTCCAAGATGTTACAAATATATTCAACATGGCAATTTTCAGACTACAATCTTCAGTCTAACAATATACATATTTTAGTAAAATAAGAGTTCTTCTGCATCATTCCTCATATTATAATACAAACCAGTCCACCACCTTATCTGCCATCCCAGGGGCTATTCCTTGTCCTAAGCATTTGCTACTTGAAGTACCTACTGGTGTCTTTCCTGGCTGCCATGTGTCCTCCATGAAGTGTGCATGTAAGCAGAATCAAATAGCCACTGTCATGGGTAGAAAATACTCTGGCAGTGACAAAGCATTGGAACCAACAGCACAGCTTTATATATCCATTTACTATCCTTCTCTCACAAAAGTTAAGTTCTTAACTAAAATCTTCATCAGCATCATTTGATTAATACCCAAGTCTTCCCAATAGCATCAGATTGTGAGAGTTGCAGGTCAAGAATAACTGGAGAACCACAAATCTTCCAGCTCTGTCTTAATAGATGCAGCACTGCATACAATTCTCCCCTCCCCATAAGTTGTTAGAACCCAGGATAAGACTAAATGGTTGGGTACAATTCTTGTCTCCTTCTGCTTTTCAGTGTTTTCCTGAGGACTTATCAATTATTTGACAAAGTCAGAGTCTCAAGAAGGAGCATCCTAGGTTATTTAAAGCCCCTCCTGTCTGTGTGGGTGTATGGGGGTGGGGAGGAGCAACATTTCTGACTGCTAGAGATATGGCTGCTAGTCTGATGAAAGCAATTAGGAAATTCAGGATTTTAGGATATCTGTGATTTTTAGTGTAGCTGTGTGTATCCAAAAATAAAAGGTAATATCAAGAAGGGTCGCTAACAAAGGATTATTTCATGCCTGCCAAAAATAAATCTCTTTCCTGCGCTTGTAAACATAAAAATATGCTTATGCCAAAGCAAATAAAATTCATCATTATTATGTCACATTGCTGGTGGAGGTTGGGTGACTGGGTTACACTAGCTCTGAAAACTAGCCCAGTGTTGCTACATTTATTTTGATGGGAGTGAGGAATTAAAATGGTGTGTGAAAACCCGCACTGTAACCTGCAGTCATTACCTAGAGTCCTGCCATGGTGGTGATATGCTTGTGTGTGTGTGTTTAAGAGAAATGCAGTCTATCTGTGAGCTGTGAGGCTGAGAGTGTGCATGTGGTGAAGTTGATTGCTGATGCAGTGTGATTCATTAAGCACTGATGAGGGTGAAGGTTTCCATCCAGAGGTTAAAAGATGTCAACTGGAAACCACAGTTACCAGATGGTAGACCCCAGGTTTATCAACTGAGACACAACAGAAAGGTTTATCTAGTATACCAAATTTCTCAGAAGCCTAGTTTACCCAGCTCAGGAGACCTATACATACACACTGCTCCTGCTCAGTCACCGATCTACCAGACCCATTCTCTGATCCTAGCTGGGAATGTACATACATACATATATACATGTGTGTGTATGCGTGCATGTATATATAACCCCCCTCCCCAAATCATAACGGGCACTGTCAGGATGCTGTCCTAGCTGACCTTCTTAATACCCTATGCGACAATGCAATAGCACCCATATGGTAATAATTTTGGGTTACTGGCCATCTGAGCTGCACCTGAATTGGGAAACCTACAGCTAAAAACTGTGGTATCTTGTTACCATTCTCCTTCCTTATTTGCTTAAACTTTTTCATTTTCTTGCTTCAGGCATCCTCTGTGAAAAGGAAGAAGGACATCCACACAGGAAGGCTGTTATGTTTCTGAATGGGTGTACTTTCATAGAGATGAAACATGATTGAATACAATTTGTGATGAAAGAGGACTGGGTAAAATCCATGCAGTTAATCTCTTGCTACCAGTTAACATCAACCCCTGCTCCTGAAATCCTCTGAAATTTGGTGCTTATTCTGTATTATATCAAAGGGTCACAAAGAACAGGCCAAGCAGCTTATTGAACCTAAGCAGCTTATTGAACATAAATGCAATCTTGAATAAAATGCCTGAAACATCCAGTATGTTAAAAATGAAATACTAAATTATATTAAGCTTTAGTCTCAATACTGACCCTAAAGTTTTTAAAGGTTGCAGCAGACTTATGTGCTGATAATCTTGTAAGAACTAGAACCCAGTAGACAGAATTCTGGGTAATACAGAACAGAGTTAATACCAATACATAGCAGCCATCTCCAACTTGAAGACCTTTGTACTTCAACTCCCATCAGTTCTACCAGACAACCTATGGCCAGGAATCACAGGAATTGTTCTCTAAAACATCTGGAAGGTGGAGAAGCCTGATATACAGGTTTATATCTGTTTAGTCATTCTTATTCTCAAAGTGTTGTACAAAGTGTACATATAAAACATTTAAAAACTTTAACGGAAATCTGGGATGTTTTTCTACTTAAGCCACTACGGCCAGAAATCCTTTGTAGTGCATATGTATTTTTAGCCAGTTCAAATGAAATATTTTGTCAGCAGATTTCCACAGGGAGGTCAGCAACAGAAACACCTGTCTCAGTTGAACACCTGTGATGTACGATTGCCCTCGTGGGTACACTGTACATCACTACACCATGTGGAATGGCTTCTACTGAAGCTGGGAATATTCGGCAACACATCATATTTTTCCTCTTATACTATTTAAATCAAGGAAACCATGCAAACTTAGAGTGGTATCCACTCTTCATTAAACAAGATTTAAAACTGGGAAGTAGACTAATGCATTATTAAGAAACCATCCTGCTGAAATGACTGCTATATGTGCATCATTAATATTCTTCATTGTATGTATACCTAGATTTAATAACATCTACCCATACATTCTGTTTTTCTCTGAAGAAGAGTTGGGTGAGGCTAGAAACATTTCCAGAAATTGCTACTTGGGTTGCTTTATCACGTTGGCTCTTTCATGGCACTATGCTAGGGGAAGCTAGCTGGGACAAACCAGCCTACAGGGGGCAATCTGTTACTCATCCACAACCTTGAAAGTGGCTATTAATGGCACTGAAATTCCCCAAAGCAGGGAAGGGTATCCTCACAGCTGGATTACTGGAATGTGCTATACTGAGGGCTGTCTTTCAAAATGGTCTAGAAATGTTAGCCAAAACAGGGGAGCAACACTGTTAATGGAGACTACTGCTTATTTTCCCATAATGCCTGGCTAACTACTGGTGTTAAACTCTAAAGGCCTCAATTTCTTGGAACCAGGTTGTGGAATATTGCCGCTTCCTGTATAAACCTGCCTAATCCCTAAGACCTTCATCAGATGTCCTTCTCCATGTATCCGTACCTCATCAGGTGAAGAAGGTGGTCATTAGGGAAATTATTTTTCCTTGGTGGTATCCTGGTTATGGAGTACCCTGACCAGAATTACTTGCTTCCTACCTTTGTTGTAGTCTTTTTGACTCCAGGTGAAGACTTTTTAATTTTCCCAGAGGTTCTAGTTCTCTGTTTTCAGTGTTTTTAGTCTATTCAGTGTTTTCTATATATTCTAGATCTTTGTTACTAATCATTTTTTCTCTTGCTGATTTTTAAGTTCATTTTATATTGACTTCTTATGGCTCCATACTGGTTTTTTAGGCTGATTCTTGTGCTGGTTTTATTTGTTTTATGCTGGTTGTATTGATACTGTATTGCTATTACTTCCAATTTTTCATGTCATTGGGCTGCATATTGCATTTTATGTATTTTTAAGTCTGATCAACTGCCCAGAAAACCTGGTTGATCAACAGTCTAAAGATGCCACAAAGTAAATAAATTAAGGACATTTTCAAAGACAAAGCCTAATCCACTAATTGACCTGGGATCTCCTGACCTCTGCAGTCTCATAACTACTGGAGAATAATCGAGAGGTGTAAATTGACTTGATCCCTAAGTACACTGCTCACTTCTAGACTAATCCACTGTCCAAACCAGGTGCTTACTATCCTTTGCTGAGTGGCATAAGCCTCGGCTGCTCCTGAATTAATGAAAAACAATGATGCACTAAACGAGTGCATCCCTAAAATGCTCAGTTTATTAAAACACGGGTAAAAGATCACTTTGTGAATGAGGACTGGATTCTGTGATGCTCTATTCCCAGTAACCTTGGAAATGAAGAGAAAGAAAATAGGTAACATCAGTATAAACTGGTCACTACTGTGTCAAGTGTTAAACGCAGCTTACCCAAATTTGTAACTATGTGTTTAAGAAAAACTAGTACCCGAAAACTATAAGAAAATGATGTGAGTTTTGTCAAACATAAAGTCTTTTGGAAGCAGCTTCTAAACTGACTTGCTGCATGAATCTATCTGACAATGGCTCCATTCAGACTATCTTCCAAACTATGGTATGGAAGATTGGAAATGTTCTGTATACCCCCTCCTCCCCTCTGTTTCCTGTTTAGTTCCTACCATAATTTGCCATGACATCCAAATCAGCTGAGGGTGCTCCTGGATCTATTGGTGTCATTTGAGACTCAAGTGGCCTCTGGGGCATAAAGCGTCTTTTACCAGCTTCAGCTGGTAACCCAGCTATGACCTTATCTGGAGATGGATAGCTTAGTTTCAGTGATCCATGCCCTAGTAACCTCCCGTTTGGATTAATGTAATGTCTTGTATGAAGAATTGCCTTTGAAGATGGTCCGGAAAACTTCAGCTAGTACAAAATATGGCTGTGAGAGTTCTAACTAGGACCCAATATGTGATCATATTCAGTGATTAAAAAACAAACAAACAAACAAACCCTGATGGTTTAAGAAGAATTAAGGATTGATGTTGGCTCAAGGTCTGCAAAATCAGGACGTTGGACATGCACTGTGATTAGTGAAGATGTTGTGCATTGTCAAAAAATGTGCTTGCTTACAACTTATTCTCCATGCATCCTTAGTTTTCATTTGTCTTTCAGGCCCAAATCCAGATGAGCAGGATGAAGTGCCTGGGACTAGCAAAGATGCCTCATGTTGTCACAGTCTTGTACTGCTTTATGAAGCAACTAACATCAGAGAAAACAAGTAATCTGAATTTAAGAAGGTGTGCAGCTTGCTCAACAACCTTGCCTTGGTGGTTTATATCTAAATGTTATTTTTTCCCATGAAGAGGAATTGTTGACTGAGGGTGCCTTTGTGCATGCACATTTTTGCCTGACCTGTTTCATCATTTGATGATTTGTAGCTGGCCATGCAGACAGGTACCGCCATTGGAAAATAATACAAACAACCCTACACCATTCCCTGAGTTTTGCCCAGCCTTACTGGTCAGACAATCACGTGGTTCTCCACGCAACATGGTTTCCATGCTCCCTGCCCCATGCTTGCCATGTATCCTGGCAGAGGCACAAGCACAATCTCCTTCCTTACACACTATTGCTCCCTATGGACCTCAGCACCATCATCCTGATTGGTCCATTGAGATTTTGGGGTGGTTCTTCCTCCTTCCAAGTGTACCTGCATTTCTGCAATGCTTCCTAGCCACTCCAATGTGCAAAGTAATTTTTATTGAATTGTATCAAACACCTTTGTCATGATTTCCCCCCTTCTCCATCCATGCAAGTTTCTGAAACTGAACAGGGAGACAGACAGATCACCCAGTCAATAGCAATAAAGCAGGTGATAATGCTAGGGAGATGATGTTAGTAGAGAAGCATTACATGGGATTTAACCCGACTGTATTGGCCTTACATGCTAAGCAGCCACTTCCATGGTCACTCTTTCCGTAAGACTCTAGGGTGTCTCCACAGCAACAAAGGTAAAATGGAGATCCCGGTTCTGGACAACCAGAGAAACTGTGATGAAGCATGGAAACCATCGAACAAACCACTAATTATATGCACGGTTTCAGGAAACTAAAGGTGCTACATGGAAATGCCATGACTGGGTCCAGACAACACAACAGTTTAGCAAGGGTAAGAAATCACTATGGCTACTTGTGATGTGACAGTGTGGCTTATGTCAGCAACACGGCTACATAATTAACTAGTAGCATTTTAATTGCAATGGATGAGCCATGCACACAAACCATCATTTCATGTGGCAGACTATGGGCACTGAGTGAATCTATCCAACCCTGCACATATTTGCTTACATTACAGTACAGTCAGTCTAACTGCCATGTAATACTGCGCAGAATTGAAACCCTATTTTGTTGCAGAAACGAATACAAAGATTGAAGCCAGTTAATCAGCAGGCAGCCTAATTTTGGGCCTATGATTTTAATTTATCACAAATGGCTCACTGACTATCATCTTACTGTGATGCTGATTGTCTTCTTCAATTCTCCCTAGTGGTGTCAATAATTATGGGAACTTGGAGCTAAATGCACATGGCCTTCCTATAGTAAGAGAGGCACCTGGGAGTCTTGCTAGGGATTTTAGCTAAATAATCATTCCTAGTAAGTTTAAGGGGAATGCCAAACCATTTCGGTGTTCATTGGAGAGTCCATGGAGAAAGATTGCACTGCGGCCTTTTATTTAGGATGCAATCCAATGCATGTTTAAGTAGAAAATAAATTTCTTCCATTCCCAGCTTTCCTCAGTGAGCCAATGCTGAAAGGTGTTGGACCTTTTTCTGCCTATACATGCATAGGATTGCATCCTTAAGATACCAAAAGGACCCATCGCATGTACTGCACACTGCCTAATTAATTCTGCTCCTTCCCTGAAGGAATGATACACAAATGCAAAGATTTGCTCTCTCTGCTGTTGGTAATTTGTTGAATGGTGAAATGATAATAAAATAGCCGCAAACATCTGGATGTTAAAGCATATCCCCACAAACGCTTCAAACAGGCTTAAATGTTAGTCATCCTGTTTCAAGGCTGGAGACTATTGTGGAATGAGATTTAGCAGGAAAGAGCCTAACTTCATCAGCTGTATAAAGCAGTGGGATGTATGTATATTGGCATGAACACAATATTTATCAGTGCAGTAGGAGTCTAAAATAGAGCAATGAGAAAAGATTATTGGGGGCATCAATAAGGAAATACCCAGGGAAAATTATTAGATGACAATCCAGGTTTGGTGGGTGATAGCAGTTCTTGCTCTGCTTAGGACTTTCTGCCTTGGAACATCATTTGCATTCAGTACAGGATATGTGTTAATCATCTATTTTCCCCCTCATCTTGCATTTCCAGCTGTTGTTTCCTGTTAATACACAAGTTAGCACACTTTGCGGTCCATATAGAGGAAAATACAACAGAAAGGCCAGTAGCTCACCACTGATTTAAAAGCTGCCTCTTTTTCAATTACAGGAGTCCTTATCTTGTCCTATCTTATTTTGTATTCATAACATTTAATTCCTACCTTTATTGCTGCTGGATTTGATTTGTTACCAGAAGAAAGACTGCAGTAAAAGCAAGCTTGAGGGATAGGGCTGCTGGCACCTACCTGATGATGCCAGAATTTGACATGGGGTGTGCGCTATCTTCACTCATTGATGCAACTGACTCTAGGTCAAAAATGTTTCCCATAATCTTTCCATTGCTGCCATATAACCAATAATTTTGACTATTTTAGGAAGGACACCAAATCCCCTTTTTATCTAGTCAGCAGCAAGAGTTTTTAGCCCCCACTCCTCTCTCCCCGCCCCACTAAATAATTTTTATCTCTTATAAGAACATGTGTAATAAAGCAGACCTGTCCAAGACAAAGTACATTAATCAGTTGTCTTACTGCCTCATTTTACCATATGATAAATTTGGAAAGCACATAAAATGGCAACTTTATTGTCTAATAAATATGCTGAGAAATTCACACACGTGACAGCTTCATTGCATATTTTAGATGAACACAGATAGTTATGTTGTGGAGAATCTTCTCTTCTCAGGATAAATATTGCTTAGAGTACAATCTTAAGAATATTTAGACAGAAATGTAGGAACTTTTTTCTAAGTATGTATGGGATGCTCAAAATCCTACAAGCTAGGATCCAGCAGTATGTGGACTGAGAACTACCTGAACTACAGGCAGGATTTCGAAGAGGGAGAGGAAGTAGAGATCAAATTGCCAACATACACTGGATCATGGAGAAAGCTAGGGAGTTCCAGAAAAACATCTACTTCTGCTTCAATGACTATGCTAAAGCCTTTGATTGTATGGATCACAACCAATTGTGGCAAGTTCTTAAAGAGATGGGAGAACCAGACCATCTTATTTGTCTCTTGAGAAACCTGTATGCGGGTCAAGAAGCAACAGTGAGAACTGGCCACGGAACCACTGATTGGTTCAAAATTGAGAAAGGAGTTTGGCAAGGCTGTATACTGTTGCCCTGCCTATTTAACTTATATACAGAGCACATCATGAGAAAGGCGGGGCTAGATGAATCACCAGTTGGAATTAAGCTTGCTGGGAGAAATATCAACAACCTCAGATATGCAGATGATACCACTCTCATGGCAGAAAGTGAAGAGGAACTAAAGAGCCTCTTGATGCGGGTGAAGGAGGAGAGTGCAAAAGTTGGGTTGAAACTCAACATTAAGAAAACTAAGATCATGGCATCCAGTCCTCTCACTTCCTGGTAAATAGATGGGGAAGAAATGGAGGTAGTGACAGATTTTATTTTTCTGGGCTCCAAGATCACCACAGACGGGGACTGCAGCCAAGAAATTAAAAGACGCTTGCTCCTGGGGAGGAAAGCTATGGCAAATCTAGACAGCGTACTAAAAAGCAGAGACATCACCCTGCCAACAAAAGTGTGTATAGTCAATGCTATGGTTTTCCCAGTTGCAATGTATGGCTGTGAAAGCTGGACCATAAGGAAGGCTGAGCGCCGAAGAATGGAGGCCTTTGAATTGTGGTGCTGGGGGAGATTCCTGTGAGTCCTTTGGACCGCAAGGCGATCAAACCATTCAGTCCTAGAGGAGATCAACCCTGACTGCTCTTTAGAAGGCCAGTTACTGAAGATGAAACTCAAATACTTTGGCCACCTAATGAGAAGGAATGACTCCCTGGAGAAGAGCCTAATGCTAGGAACAATAGATGGCAAAAGAAGAAGGGGACTGCAGAGAATGAGGTGGTTAGATGGAGTCACTGAAGCAGCTGGTGTGAGCTTAAGTGGACTTCGGGGGATGGTGGAGGACAGGAAGGCCTGGAGGAATGTTGTCCATGGGTTGCGATGGGCTGGACACGACTTCGCGACTAACAACATGTATGGGATTGCACCTGTAAACTGTATCTTATCCACATCCTTTTGCTTACAACATTGTTCCTGCATTATTTACCACTAAATATGTATGTCAGTTCTATCTTTAACTCTTTTGTGACAGTGCATCAAAACAAATTTATTCATGCTTGTTTCCTTCCTGAACATTTGCATTACTGTTAATACATTGCTTGTGCTTAACTCTTAATGTTTCCCTTTTCTTTTGCTTCTCCTAGCTCACTGTTATTTTATTTTTCTCCACCAATACTGGACTCCCGTCCTTTTAGCACTATATTAAAACATTTCATTTTGTCCAAGTATTTTAACATTTTTAAGTTTACAATTAAATTACAAACTGAATTGATTGTATTTTTATTTGGTTTGCTGGTTGAAAATTGTTGTTTTTGTCTTTTAAGGTGAAAGTGTATAGCTTTTATATTGGATGCCTTTGTTTCTAATTTTGTGTACACAGTTTATACTTTTAGAAATAACTTTAATCAATCACCACATCTTGTTGTTGACTTACTGTGCTTGGTGGCAAGTGGGATAGCCAGAACTTTTCATTCTTACCCCTCTGAGTATTGGGAAGAATCATTAAAACAGCCCCTGGGCTGGTATTTTTGGCCCAATGTTGTGGGGCTTTAATCCTATGTATTTATTCTCAGAACACCTCTGGAATACCTGTTTTTCCCACCACAAATGGAGTAAGACCTTCAGAAGAGAATCAGCAGAACTTCCATGGGCATCCCAGGGTCCTCTGCTAGCACAGGTGCTGTTCCACCTCCAAACCTTCCTCTCTGGTGGAAGTACGATGCCTCAACAGGTCTTTGGCCTGCTGCAGAAGTCCAAGCTAAAACATTTCATAGTTGAGTTGGGAGCCATTGTGGTTTATATTATACTTGAAGCCAGGGGTGTGAAGAACTGAGTTTTTCTTTATTCAGCAAACAACAAGGATAATAGTGACACAAGAAGGAACAGCATCTTCCACCGATTGCCAAATAAATGTGACTTTTTGAAGGACTGTTTCCTGCATTATATTTCAAAGGCATGGGTACATTCTAGCCATGTACATTCTGGGGTGGGGCTGGGGAACTGCTACAATGTAACATGAGATAAATAATGCCATGCCTTAGAGAGGGCATATCAGCAAAATCCAGAGTTGCTTCCAGAATCTTACCATACATGGGAACTCTCTATAGAATATTCTCATCTTGTACATTCGCATATCTTCACACAATATTTTACATACCATCACATTTGAATATGATCCAGGTATGGAGCGACTCCAAATACAGCTTTTAAAATATGAGCAGAGTACGGAAGAATAAAAAGCAGGCTAGTTGTAGCATTAAAAAAATTTCCTATCTGCTGTTCCAAATATAGTTCCAGATTCATTGCCTGAAGTTTTAATCAGCAATACTTTTTTAAAAGGCCATCTCAGCAAGGATTAAATAATAAAGATGGGCACAAAATAATAATCAAATTGATATGAACACTTACATATGTTCACCACTTGTCATTGAATAAATAAATACTGTGACTACTGTTTTGTGAAACTCATTTTATATCCTTGGTGCAGAATGAGTAATGTGAACTGAAAAGAATTTTTTTCCCTGTTCAATTCAAGGTGCTGGTTCGAATGTCTAAAGCTCTAAAGAGTTTGAGATCAGGCTATTTTAAGGTTCACTTTCTCTCACATGTAGCTGCCCAGCTACTAAACTCTTCCTCAGAGGCTCTTTTCTAAGTTCCCCCATGAGATAGACTCCACTGCAGGAACTTTTCGGTCGTGGTGCCAACTCCAGAGTGCTTCTTCTTCAGGAGACTTCCTGGGATGTGAACCTACTGTCTTTTTATTGCAAAGCTTTACTCTGTTTAATCTGGCTTTAAACATTTGTCTGCTGTTCTGTTTTTAAACAATATCTCATCTGGCTCCCAATGGTAACACCTCTCTCCCCAAGCTGCCACCAGAATGGGAAAAGAAACAGATCTGACTTGATCTCAGAATAAGAGAAACTGCAGAAGAAAACAGAGGAACAGGACAGCAAAGAACAGGCCTGGCACACAGGGACAATCATTGTAGTGCAAACTTGAGTTCAATTGATATAGGCCTATCCATATGGGCAAATGAATCAAGCATCACCATTTTTTTTCTCCTTTTTCTAGATTATGTGTCTAAGGGCCTTATAAAATAATTGATTCTTATATGCCACTCTGATATTTTTTAACTAAAGTGCAGGACAGAAACACTTTGGTTTTTATTATTCTTACACTGTCCTTTTTGAATTTTAAAAGTTACTTTAAGAACTATTGTCATAAGAACAGGATATACATTTTCTACATAAATACATTCTAGAAAGTGAAATGCATTCTGTATCTGTCTCAAGTAAAATAGATGCCTGACTGTGTGAGCGAAGAGACTGAGGCTGCAATCCTCCACACTCTTCGAGCTTCAAAGCGTTTAGGAATATTTGTTAACTGTTAAACATGCACAATGCAGGTT